TTATGAAAAAGACACAAACGAGAGAGTTTTCGGCGGTGAGTTAGTAACGGCAGACCTAAAGTATTTTTCATGGTACTAGTAACACTGACAGTGCGACGATAGTTTGTCAATATAAAACGAGCTGAGCGGTTTTGGATGGATTCAACATGAGCAATTAGTGACGAGTGAGCGGGGTGCCACACAGCAGCAGCATATTCTAATTTTGGACGGATTAGGGTTTTGCACGTGGTTAGTTTTAATGAAGACTGAGCGAGGAAAACATTTCTTTTTAAGTATCCTAACGTACGGTTAACACTGTTAATTATGTATTCAATATGAATCTTCCAAGGAAGGTTACAAGTTATATGAACACCAAGATATTTGTAAACAGACACTGAAGCGAGGGGATTATTGTTTAGATGATAAGTACGACACACCGATTGAGCACGTGACACTCTCATCGATTTGCATTTGTTTTTGTTAAGTTCCATTAGCCACTGGTTACACCACAGTGATATACGATTAAGGTTAGATTGTAGAAGAATAGAGTCAGATATGTCAGTTATTTTCCGGTAGATTACGCAATCGTCAGCAAAGAGGCAAATAGAAGAACTTGCAGAACAATTTTCTATATTATGGCACGTGAAACATAGGGAGTGACGCGTTGATGTGAACAAGTGGAAGCCACGTGTTGAACAACGTTTTTCCAGCGTTCTAAAGAACACCCGTGTGAAATAATGGAAACGTTTAACGCTCCTGTTGAGAGAGGGCGCCACCGACCTGCAAAGCGCAGCTGTTTCAAATGGATACCACTGTCCGTTTTGCTACTGGGCGATGTTTTTTTGGTGGTATCATCTTGAAACCACAATCCCTCAAAGGGTTCAACATACACACAGTCATGGCCTCCTGAGGTTATGAACTTATGACACAATCCGATTTTTCGTTTTAGCCCCTTTGAGGGCGCTTCTCCGTACGCAGTGGTGCACCGCGGGGAAGCCATACCCGCAGAGCTAACACTGCGATCTCGCGACTCTCATGGCCGCAGCGCAGCCGCGTGCTTAGGCGAAAAACACACCTTCAAAACGGTATGGTCCACGCGCGCGCCTAATGTATTAAAAAAGAAAAAAAGGAAACAATGTGATTGTTGATATTTACATTGCAGTTAAATCTTAAAATTTTAACTGGGGCTATTCTGCAAGGGTATATTAAATGTTAGGCAGTTATGTTGTAGCAACCTGTATTTATTATTTATGCTTGTCTTTTAGGGTTTTTTAGTTAAGAATTGAAGAAAATATTTGCATATAGCAAGAATTTTTATAAATCTCCGCAATTAGGTATGGCTAAGCTCCTTTATAGGTATAATTTTACGTAAAATTTGTCGTTTACTTGCCATCTCAATGAAGGTATTGGACTTTCTGAGGCCACAGTCTATTAATATAGCGAGATTAAATTTAACAGAGCTCATAAGTGGGCTATTAGAACCTAGCTTAGAAACAACTTTTGTGAGTTCAGCTGAATTTTCGTTTAAGCGTGGTGTAACGGTAGTGCAAGGCATGGAGAAACACGCAGCAACTATTCGATATTCGATTAAAAAATATTCAAAAATCTATTATTTGCGCATGCCTAACTACTATTAAACAGAGAGCAGCGTGAAACACGTTCAACACAACAGTGTCCGTTTGATGTCGAACTCATGACAATTACGTCACCGTGACACAAACCCTACAAAGTAGCCAAAAATATATTTTTACGTCAAACACAGACCTAAGACGCCATCGGTATTCCTAACTGTGTAATTGAGACATCTGCAAAATTACTCATATATGAATGCTCAATAAATAAATAAATATCTGTAGCGGCCATGCACCTTGTAGGTATGACACTTTAATAGTCTCCCAACACTCCAGCAACTGCAGTTTATTTCCACAGGCTAACTTCCAAAGAGATCGTATAAAATTTTCTGACATGAAAGCTCACAATTGTCCGCTCCAAGAGGGGGAATCTCTGCTCCAAGACCTGTTGTTCCCTGCTACAAACGCTGCTGCAAATCGCCGCTTGTCAGTTCCACCACTGTGAAAGCGTTCCTAGCCAATATAAGCGTATTTGACACCGTGAATGCAATTAACTCGGTCAATCGTGCTCATCTCCACAGACCTCTTACAATTATGTTGTACTTACTGGGTACTTCGAGACAGGAATTTCATTTTTCAATGCCGCCAAGCACCGATACCGCATGCGATGGCGTTGCGAAAATGCGTGCTTGTTTCGCTGGTGTGTGGATAACAAAATCTCGGTTTACAAGAAATGTCTATAAAGCAACCGCGCATTTGGATCGGAGCACCTAGAGAGACCAAGGAGAGACCGCTCATCCCGTGGACCAAAATACCGACCATACGGGGACCTTGGCGCTACTTTCCCAGGATGCAGTGACTTTAGTCGGAACCAGTCGAAATTCACGCTTACCCCAAACTTTCGTAACTATTGTCCTCTTGCAACTCCCCTCGCGGGGCTTCATCCCTCGGCTCCTTGGGTTGGACGTTCATTTCGTACTTGATCGTTTATGGCCCTTCTTTCTATTCATTGGTTGCTTCTCGATATAGTGTAGCTTTAAATATAGTTGAACGCCAAGACTGCCCTTGACCTTTTTATGGGTTTCGGCAAACTTCGAAATTTCACTAACCCAACACTCTTGCTGAACTATGGAACTTCCGGTGACTTCACAAGTCCACACTGCCATCCAGGGCATGGGCATGGTATTCAAGGTCAGTGATCCTGGTTAGGGTACTGACGGGTGACCCTAACCACTGCAGGACAACCGATCTTTAACGCCTACGACGGCCGCCTGATCACCGCTCCTTCGCTACTGCCTGCCGCTTCACCAGGGGGGCTATGTTGCACGTTTTGGACTCCCAGGAGACTAGGGAGAAGGAAATGACGTAGGTGTGAATGAACGTATCTTAGCAGCACCACGCAACGCGTCATCAGCGACTCCACCAATCAACATCCAAAGAGCGTTGTTGACGTCACTTCCCTCTCCCTAGTCCCCTGGGAGTCCAAAACTTGCAACATAGCCACCCTGGAGATGCGTATGAACAATGATCCAGCTGAGTTTCCGGAGCTCTTTCTACCCTGGTGGACACGAGCAAAGCAAAGCAAATTCCACGCCTGGGGTAAATTTGATCCATTACACTTTATCCATCAAGGGGCTTTGGACACGAGCAATGTTTTTGATTGGCTCGTGCTTCGCGTCGCTCCTGCTTGTTCGCTGGCTTTTCTTCCTGCAAGAAGCTACTCGGCAGTCCGTTCCCAGCAGGGCGGGATCCAGAATCGAGCAGCCGTACCCCTACAAAAGTTCGATATTCGATTGCAAGTCACAACAGTAGGTTACTTTAAGTACTACATTTGCTGTAGAGCGCTTTTTTTTTACAGTGTTTTCATCTTGTCTATAATTCGAAGCACATTGAGACAAGTAAGCCACAGTTTCTGAATCTGTGCAGTAAGACGCCGGCATCAGACTGTGCCACGTTACACATGTACTCGTCGTAGGTCCAATCATTGGCCCGAAAGCAGACCCAAGGAATGTAGCTGCTTAATTCCTTCGTCAGCGCTGGCCTTATCAAGGATAATCTCAAATAGAAACACGCGAAAAGAGTGTGTACTTGGGCTCACTCCACGCACAAAAAAAGTTATTTCATGATTCTAAATATGACCTCAAGTGAATGTATGCAATAATGACTTCAAAAAACAGTTTCCTAGATCTTCTTACAACATAAATTGACGTGAAACTCAACAGAGAACCCTCGATGGTGCTTCTTTGGAAACTCCTTGAAAACACCTAGACGACATTTTGAAGCCATGTGCTCAAATACTTGTGAAGACTTCGCAGTCTTATTTCCTGAAAGAACCAATAAATGAATAACCTGAATGTGCTTAACTGCCCTCTCCTGCTAACATTTCCTGACACTCCTCAACGCTATGGACTAAACTGCGAGTGTCTCAGCCAGAAGGTGATGAATACTAAGAGGTCTTGTGCCAAGTTTATGAGTACCTTGATGCCTTACACTACGTTACATTTATTGTTGGAAACGACTAAAATGGCCTATGAGCTTTTCAAAAGTTCTCGTCCTTCAGTTCCTACTTGTTACTGTAACAGTTTCTGTGGTGGCAACCTGGGTCGACGGCAGCGCCAACCGTTTTGAAACTTGTCAATTGTTCCTGCACGCTGGCTTTGTTGCAGCCTTGCCTGTTACAAGTTGACAGCTGCCTCCATTTTCGTAGAGTGCTTAATGAGTATAAAAGAATGAGTGCCATTCACACATTTTCGTTGCGGGAGTAACATTTTGCAGTTCTTAGATAATACAGACTAAAGTTTGATATGGTTTGCAAACTGTTCCCCTCACCGTCCACTATGGCACCAGTTTTCGGACAGGGCGGCGTTCCCCAGCCTCGCGTGTGAATTCCGCGACTGGAAATGAAGGTGCGAAGCAGGATTCGCCGAATGGCTTAATCAGATGTGCCCCACTTTAGAACATCACTGTCTGAGTACTGCGGTGTCGTGTCCTATACCGGTAAAACAGAGGGAGAGGAGGAGACGAGAGCGCGCGGCGACGCCATAACACCGAACACTGTGGCTCTAATCTGGACACTTGGCGAGAAAGTCGGCGAAGAATTCGACCGCCGTGATTGCACGGCGCCACGCTCAAGCGCGGCGCCGGCCATTTACGGATGCAGGATTCCTCGCCGACGTTTTCGCCAAACGTCCAGATTAGAGCCCCCGGTTGGAATGATTAGTGGGGCAGACGCAAAGCTCGTTGCATTTGTCTTTACTCACTCTTCCAACGCGCTTGGACGCATTCTAAGAATGAGTAAGACAAAGGCAGCTAGCTTTGCATGCATTCACTAACCATTCCAACCAAAGCTCGGTGTTCCGATGTCCACGCTCGGTCTCAATATCTCCTCTTCCTCCGTTTCAGCGTCTCCCTCATACTGTGACCGAAAACAGACAGGCTGCACACACACAATTATAAATACGCATAAACTTTAATTCGATTAACATTGTATAAAAAAAGGACGACCCATCGGGTCGAAACGCCGACTTCCGTTTCCTCTGCTTCACTCAAGCGAAGGACTTCTTTGTTCGTATCCGTCCGTTGCCCGTCACGAACGTCGTTACAGCGTTCTTACGCAACACCACCTTGGGTAATCAAAGCCTGCGGACAGCCTCCTCTAGCTCCACGTGACGTCATCACACTCGCATGCAGCAGCTACTCATCACCTGGGGCCGAAACCGGCTGCCTATTTGGACGCAGTGATTGGAACCGAGACCCAGCCGAAAAGCTGACGCAGCATTCGTGTGCAATTTCTGTCTGCGCTCGATCCCACTCTGATGACGTCAAAATGGTAGCGCGAGGGCTTTGATTATTCTATGGCCGATGACAGGTTAAGATTTCAGGGGAAGCTCCTCCCGCCTCTTTCCCCTTGAGCAAAGGGAACGCCGAAGAGGAGGTCGCCTCCTCTTTAGCGTTCGCTCTACTAAAGGAGAAAGAGGTGGGAGCTGCTTCCCCACTACAGGTGGTTTTACCCTATGGCCGCGTCGTCGGCCCGTTAATTTTCTTTTTACTATTTTTTTTGTCATTATCGCTAGTTTCTTTCGTTCCCTCCGACAACGTCACACGTTGTGACGTTGTGCACAGTTCATCACTTTCACACGCCTGCTTCCAAAGCATGTCTGTTGAGCAGCGAATTTAAGTATCAGCTACGTAGTTTTAGAAAACGATTCTGTGGTCCATGTTGACCCAAAATTTGCCACTCAGCACGTCGCGCAGCGCTCCGGTCACCGTCGTGTTTAATTTGAGCGTTGCCAGCTTGTAGCCCATGACGTGAAGCTTCTGCAGAATCACCTGCGGATACAAGAAAAAACAAGTACCATATGTCATCAATTGAAATAATATAAAAAAAAATTAATCCATGACAGCGTCAAACGAAAACGTTAAATTTAATTGGGGCGTTTGGGTTGCTGAATAGAGGCTGAATAAAGAACTATTGGATATATTGTTTCAAATGAACAAACTACCTAAAGCGCTAAAATTCTGCATGCTTTCTTCATCTGTGTACACTGGTAACGACAATTTATATTTTAAACGAACTATTGTATAACATTTAAGCAAACAATGAGACAAGGGGAGTTAAATAACGGTCCATTATTTTATTTCTTCTCGTCTCAGGGCGATATGTTTCTTAACCAGCTTGTCTGTACATACTTTCTCTTCTTGCTACTGTTTTAATTATTTTAGTTTTCTTCAGAGATTTGAAATTTTGGCGTAGACAGCGGGGCAACGCTGTTCACAAAATCCAACTTCGTCGTAACATGTCTCGGTCAAGTTCGATAAACTCGGCGATGCACAGAATGTATTGCGAATGAGAAGTCACGTGACACCGTGACGTCACATGACGCCCAAATTTGACGTCAGTTGTCGCGCGACGTCACAAAGTTATGTATAACGTCGTGACGTCAACAGGCGCAGCATGTTGCTCTTCTCGTGAAACCCGGCCATATATAACGCATCAGAGTGTTTTAGAATTGGTGGGACGCTTGGTTTCCCCAAATAGTTACGGGTGTCACACTGCGCGTGCGCAGAACTTCTGGGCAGACGCAGTGCGACGCCGCAAGGTTTGGGGTATCCTATTTTTGAGACTCTATTTTGTGTTAAAGGCCGATGAGCAACCAGAAAAAAGGGAACTCTTCCTCAATTCTTTTTCGCCGTTCGAGAAAGAGGGAGACCTTCATCCTCCTTGCCTGAGGCAGCTCAGAGACCAGGGTGTGAGATAGACAGGTGGGGAAACGAGAGCCAAATGAGCGAGCGGATTCTGTACCCCCCAGTTTTCTCTTTTTCTGTGGCGCCATCTATGTGGAGCACGGCGAACTGTCACTCCAGGTGGGCGACAGGTGGCGACCGGCTAAACTGACGGAGATGGTTTCTCGTGGATTTTCAATGGAGGACTGTCGTGCCTTTGGTTTATTTTGCGCACTCTCCCCATAGAGTTCCATGTAAATCCGATTCCAAATTTTTTTCTCTCCCCGCAGCGCCATCTGTCGCAAATCGGGGGTACCCGCAAGCAGACGAGTACACAATCCGGTCACGGCGCTGCGGTAGGCTACTCTGCGCCGTTTCTCCACCTCTCTATCTTACACCCTGTCAGATACCTTCTTCTGTGGGGAGAGGAGGAGAAAAGAGAGCGAGAGCAAATGGCTAGAAGAAAACGGGGAACCGGTTTTCCGTCCGGCAGAAGACGATTCTGTATGTCGGCCTTTAAACATTCGCGACATCCCCAGGGAAGGTTGCACGCTGGGCTGCAATTTCGTGAACACGAGAATGGTGTAGACTGCAATGATGTTCACTTGCCCCGGGAAACTCCTTTTCGGCGTAGAGAACGTCGGGGACGAGTGGATGATGCAATCGCGGAGCATCGATGGCTTCTTTCACGGTCAGGTTTGTGTGCAGAGTCCTCCAGAGAATCTAGTCAGAGATGAACGCAGTGTTAAATTCCAACACTGAAATGCACCACACTCTGCAAAAAAAAAAAAAAAAAAAAAAAAAAAATCGATGAAAGATGAATGCGAAAGTCTCTATTGTCAAAGTCAAATTTGTGGGTTTTACGTGCCAAACCAACGACGGGCATCTGGCACGCCCCAGCGGAGGACTGAGGACTAATTTAGACCACCTGGGGATTTTTTGACGTGCAACCGAAAACTCGGTTCACGTCAAACGCATGAACCGAGCACCTAACCTAAGCTAAACAAACCAAACACTACCACGTATTCTAGTACACTTTAGTATGCCGATTATTCTCTCATTTAATGTCCGCCGAGCCAAATGGCGCCAAATAGCGTGGCTGACCGAATTAGGCAGCGACTTGGCCACTGTTCTGCACTTTACCGCAACCTGAGCCGCGGTAAAGTGCAGAACACCTAGCGGCTCTGCTGTCAACCGGGGCAGGTGCTTCTTTTTGGGGCAAACACAAGACTTTCCGAGAACAAGGCTGGCAGGCTTAAGGGATGGGCCTTTGATGGGTTCTTTGTGTTCAAAATTAGCAATGCACAAAAAGTTGCATCAACAGTTGTGTCAACTTTTATGAGAAATATCTGTTTAGCAATCCCTCACATTGGATTTTTATGAAAGGTAAGGTTTTCGTAGTTAAGCCTCTGGAGACCAAGATTACAAAATGACTTCACTGTCTACAGAAAAAAAAAGTTAGTAGGAGATTTTTAGGTTTTAAAATTCTCTTAATTAAATTCAGGTGTTCATAAGATTTCAAAACGTCATATTCGAAAGTACTTTGCAAAGTGATATTTAGGTTTTCGAAAGGGCTAAAAGTTTCACGTTTATGTGCTCCAAAAGCTATTTTTAGGTGCTCCAACGTGCTCCAAAACTTGTTTTCAGGCGCTCCGAAAATTGCTCCAAATCACAATTTTGCAGTAGCATCACTGCGCATTGGTTCCGGCATAACTTGGCAAAGGGCGAAAGAGCTGCTGCCCCGGCGGACATCTCGAAGTGTCGGATCGAGTCATCTAACAACGTAGTATCGTTTGTGTGCACTCCCCTGGAGAGCTGTCAAGCGCTTTTTGGGGGCCGTAGCTTTTACCTTTGCCAAGTTATGTTGAAAGACGCGACGCCCACCACCAGGAGAAAGCCGCAAGTTTGGCGCGCCATTGACAAAGAACACTGATAGGTTCGTAATGCATTGTTTCGTAGCCCAGGCTTGGGCGCTTTACGTTTTATACCGACTTCTCAGCGACGCGGTACCACCTTAACAGGCGAGTTGTTCAACGCTATCATGGTGCACGGGCAAGCGTAAGTCTGTACGAGGCTTTGTTTTCAGGCGCGCTATCGCGGAGGGAAGCCATCTAAAGCTGCGGTCACACTGCAATACCGACATACAAAAGATGGTCCGCGGACGCTAGGGAGTGTTAGGGAACCGTTTTTGCACGTCCGGTACGGTACGATGGGCCCTCCGGTACGAACTGCGCATGCGCTACAGCATAAGACTCGCATGGGCGCAGTTCGTACCATAGGGCCCATCGCACCGTATCGGACGTGCAAAAACGGTTCCCTAACACTCGCTACTGCCTGGGGCATGCTTCTTCTTGGTACGACGGTCGCATTGGTCACTCAAAAATAAAAGTGTGCGCAGACATGTTCGAATCATGTATCAAGCAAACATGCTTCCAACATGATCGAAGCGTGACCGCAGAAAATCATGTCATGTGTGTCGCGAATACCGTGTCTTTCGTACGACGTATGAACAGTACACTGTTCATATGTCACACGCAGTGCACACGTATCCGTGTGCACTGCGGCTACGTACGACCGCTCGAAGATTTCAATAATGCTGTGCCGAACTCGCAAGATATAAGGGACTACAAATAGGAGTATATTTGGAAAGTGTACACGAGGAAAGTTTGTCTAACGGGCACTGAGGACGGGACTGAAGGGGACTTTCAGTTCTAATGTGCAACTACTAAAAGGTGATGGAACTGTTATTTTTTTTAATGCATTGCATTCATATGGTTAGTGTTGAGGACTTTGTGTTCGTGCATGAAATTTAGCCTCGATACGTTGATGACGTCATGGTGCTTGCAACATTTAGTGGCTGACTGTGGTGTTAGAACGGTGACGAGTCCTAACAGATGGAACTCCCGGGTCTTCGTTTCTTATATGTGGCATTGTGATGTCGCGCGACACCGTGAGTCACGTGGTCACGTGATGCAACGTCAGCGTGATCATGTGTTTTCCTTGTCACCTGACATCACATGACAGCCTTACGTCACAGAGGACCTATAAATGCTACGCATTTAAAGTTCCTCTGGAATGTACCCAGGAAACGGACAATTATTTTTCTTTCTGAAGGAGTACCTGCATCGCTGCGGTTAGAGTCTGGTTTCCGGAGCCGCAAACAGTGAGGAACTGCCGAACGTCTCCGCTGTCCTCCACGACGATGGCAGGAGCCATTGTGGTCGGAGCCCTTGTTCCCGGGAGGTACTGAACTTCGTTGGAAGTCCCCAATGAACCCGCCGCTGTCGTCACCGCGAACTCCCTCAGGGCGGCGTTGAATATCACGTCAGTTGTGTTGGAGTAGACTTGCGAGCCAAACCTGCAGGTTTAAAGAAAGCAAAAACGAGAAAGCAAACGTTGCTATCTTTTTGAAGAAGATACTTACGTATGCGGCATCCTATGCTATCGATATGAACTATCAGTTTCCTTGGCCATTCCAGTGTTTCCGAGATCAAGTTAAGCACGCTTTTCTGCTGTAGGCGAGCAAATCCACGCCGAACCCACGAATGCAACTGCTCGTACAAGTCAATTTCACTTTATTAAAACTGTAAATATAAAATATAGGGTGACAATCAAACAAAAAGAAATATTGACGATTCCATTTCTCGCTTGTCTTCGGTGGTATACAATTGATTTTCGCCTTGCAGTCCTCGAGAAAAGATCTCTCAAAATCCGCGCCTTGGAGATACGAGCTCGGGTCATGCGAACAACATTGATCGCCTTCTAAGTACCTTACATCTGCCTATTGCTAGGAAATGACGCAGCAGGTTCGAACCGACTTTCATGGGCGAACGACGTTCCCATCTGACTCCTTACCATCGTTTCATAGCTCCGTGTAAACGCGATCAAAATTGGGGAATGTTTTAAAGGTGCCACTCTATAGTCACTGGCATGATAAGAATGTCAGGGCATCTCTTTCAAGTGCCCGGCCTTTGACACGTGCTGTTTGCCTTCCGTCGTGCTTCGGCTGCGCGTGCACGCTAAGCTAGCGAGACGCTGAAGCATTATCGAAGGGGAAGCTCGTGCCGGAGGCGAGGGAAAGAGAGAGAGAAACTTTATTGTCAAACCCTTTGTCAAACAAAACCCTCGTCCGGCGCGCGAGGAGTAGATCTACCACTCTTCCTCAAGCACGCTGTGGGCGTGCATGATTAGGAAGTGGCAAATCCCCACCGGTGGCCGTTTGGATCTGGATGAGCATCGTACCGGCGTGCGGTCGTGTATCACTTTTGCGTGATGCACGTTAAAGACCCCAGGCTAGCGGTTGTACTGCACTGGCTAAATGTCTCATCTTCAGCTGGGAGACTCGTCGCCCGTTGAGGCAGACCAAATTCTAGGCTGTATAAACATACACACAACCCATTTTTTTTAGAAGATGGCATTAGGAGTTAATTGACAAACCTGCCTGTTGTTCTCATCCTGCCAGAGAGTGCACCCTCCTTTGGCGACGAGATATCTCAGTGGTCCCTATCTGTGACGCCACAACCATGCAGGATCATCGATTGCCAGCGAAAATTATGATTATACGCGTCAAAAGCGCGGTGCAAGCGTTTAGCCCTCGCGTCCTTATATCAACAACGTCAGAGTTGACAGTTTAATGTTCGTCTTTTTTCGGTTTTTAGAAGTAGGATCCATTCTACTCAAGACCTCGTAGGGAGCGTTGGGCCAATCGTAGAAGACCGACCACAGCGGCCTTCTGGTCGCTCACGTCGCCAATGGTTACTGATGGAATGAGAACAGCAGGGAAGTTCTTCGATTGTCCCGCCTTCAGAGCGATCTCCCTACTTCGACCTTGCCTGTACGTACAAACAAGGCTGCGAGCAAGTGCTGGAGGCCGGTCGTTCAAAAGAGGCACTCTGCCGTTTTCATCCTCTCAGTGACTGTGGATGGATGGATGGATGTATGGATGCGGTGGAACCCTTTGAATCGGGCGGCGACTTGTGCCACCAAACCAGTGTTTTTTTTTGTTTTTTTTTTAAAGTTTACCTAACACAGAAAGGACACCACAACAAAAGACACCATAAAAATGGCAAGTCTATCAATTATATAACGTCTCCTGGAAGTGAGTATTACATATGTTATAGATTTACCAGCTTGTTGGTGTTATTTTGCGAGCGCAACCTTGCAGTTATTTTCAGATTGACCGTAAGAGGGCGTAATTTTGAAGGGGTCTATAAAGCCCCTCTGTCCTGGGAAAAGTGGCGCCATTAATTGTTGTAGAAATGCTCGAGGCACGTGTCGCGCGCCACTTCTGGGAAATGTATGGCGTCTGCAATCTAGCTCAGTGCTGCTACAGTGCTGCGCTGTGCCGCCATGATCTTCCCAAGGGCTGCACGTTGCACGTGCCTCGTGCATCGACGAACCTTGCTCTACTTTTGAAACATGAAGGGGCTTGCAAGCGTGGCGGCCCGGCGGGTGCTCAAATGCGTGCAAGCACGCGAAGCATGTGCGTGAGGTAGCTTTGGCAAGCTTGCGATGTCAAGCATGGCGGCCCGACTGGTGCTCCATGCCTGTAAGCACGCGAAGCGTGTGCGTGAGGTAGCTTTGGCACGCTTGCAATTGCACGTGCTTCCTCACACGAACAGGAACACGGCGGCTGCCAGACGCGTTCTTTGCAATCGTCTATTAAGGGGTATTCACACGAGGGAGAAATCCCCGGGATTTCTCCCCGGCACGCGCATCTCACGACGAAAGCGTCAGGCTTTGCGATGTGCAAAAGCCTCGCGTTTTCATCTCGTGATGCGCGTGTGCCGGGGAGAAATCCCCGGGATTTCTCCCTCGTGTGAATACCCCTTTAGCGGCGAGGTTAGAGTGCCTTCATACACACGCGCGCTTTTGCTTGAGTGGTGACATCTCAGCCATTTTTCCGCCCAATCGTTTCTTTATGTAATTTGAAATACGCGCAATCTGGTGTCACTCAGCTCGAGCTCGTAGCTTTGGCTAAGGTATAGACGCCATTTTACCGCCCAAGTCACGCACCGAGTGCGCGAGCCCGTCACGCGCTGGCACATTCAGGGCAACAATGGATGTCTTCACCCTGAGACAGACAGACATGTAGGCACCCTAGGCGAGGTGTTCTGGTGGCGCCCTCCTATGGTTCCCTCTCGTGACGTCATTATACTTGCGAACAACAAGTTCGATGGTGTTTGTAATTAGCAAGGTGGAAACTTGAAATCATTGCGTCTGAAACCAACATCGCCAACGCCGTCAAAACTGAAGTTCTTACGTTACTTTTCTTTCTGTCGATGAGCAAACCTTTGCTGACGTCACGTCAGCATTTCGCCAATCGCGGAAGGCCGACCAAAGCGGCGCTTTCAATCGCGCACGTCGCCAATGCCAAACTGAGAAGAAGGGAAGGTGACAACTCACAAGCCGTGCATGTCGCTGAACACCACCACGGCGTCCCCTGAAGGGTCGAGGACGGCCACGCTGTCAGGAATCCCGGCATCCCTGAAGGCAGCGTCGTCGGTCCCGGGCACCGACGGTCGAACTTCTTCTCCCGACATGGTCCTCGTGATGTTTTGAAGCTTCAGGAAAAACAGACCCAGAAGTAGTGCTTAATGCGCGATTTACATGGGTGAAGAAGCCGCCCCTCCTTGATGCCACTCATACGTGATTTGCTGGCAAAAATAAAATAAAAACAAGATTGGGAACGTGATGTTCAAAGGACGTTGTGCTCGCTCATTGGTGTCCGTCGACAAATACATCCCCCTGCTGTCCTTTGACTGGTCCAAGGCTGATATGATGCTTGTAATTGAAAACAATAAAAAAAAATTTTTGAAAACACATTTTGGTGTAATTTGGGATTGAAAATGGCGTGAATATGGCTTTGCTGGCAAGGTCTCTTGATACCACTCACGATTTCATTATCCTCTAAGAAGACATCCGGATACGAGATGGTCAATGCGTGCGCGCCCAAAAGACAGCCCGCCCATTACGTTACCAAATAATTAAAGATTGTTTGTACCGCAAAAATAAACTATACGCATTGCCGAACGCTCATTTTCCGCCCAAATGTAGCGCTAGCGGTCCGAACAATATGCCAAAGTTTTAGAACTAACCGTCACCTTTTTCAAAGTTTAAGTTATTCTGAAATTTTCAATATATAAATACGGGCGGCGGAGCGAGCTTTCGAATACATGGAGCTGAATGGGCGCCAGTTACCCAAAATTACTAAAAATGGGCCCCATTTTCCCATCGAAACTTTCAGAAAATCACTTATAAGTTTTGATTGAGATAACAGTAACAACGAGGTAGAGGGCCTCGTTGAACTGTAACAACATTTCGGAGGAAAATGAGCGGTCGGCGGTAATATGTTTTTTATTTTTGCAAAAAAAAAGTTTTTTTTTTTTTTTTGGCGGGGGGGGGGGGGGGGAAGGGGCACGCTGTATATGACTGAAAACAATAACAAAGCTTGGCAATCAAATTCTATGGTTATTCGCCTCGAGATTGACAATGACTTGGCAGATGGGGGCAGTTGTCAAGGTCTCTTGTTACCACTCACGCTTTGCTTATCATCTAATGAAGACATGTAAGATACGAGGTGGTCGGTGTATACGTGTCTAACGTACAGAAAGTGAACGGGAGATCTTCACTGCAGTTTTGCCACAGCTGGAGGAACCGTGGAAACGAGAGCTCGTAGGTCTGGGTTTGCTTCCTCCGTACTTCGCTCTTGTAACTCTCATGGCGAACAGACGTCATGTAAGCGGCCATTGTTGTGTTTGTTTGGCAATGTATTTTAATTACTCTTGGAAAGGATGCAGGACAGTTGGTAGGACGCTAGTGTGCGCATTCTTGTCACCGTCCTGCAAAGGGAAGGGAAAGGGGTAAGAAAGAGATAGTGTAGTAGAGAATGTGAGAGGTAAAAAATTTTTCAGAAGTGCAATGTCCATACGTAATAAAACAATCAATAGAACCGCCAACACTTCAACGTGAAGCCGCTGGAAAGGTGGTAGGATCGTGATTTATCTTCATCCCAGAGGAAGAGGTCAGCTGTGCCGATGCCGTGGCGTGTGCCCTCTAGGTGTCCTGCGGCAACGCAGTTTTCTGGAGGTTCGGAAGTCCGGCAGGAGGGTGCGACAATGACTAAGTCGTGTGCTGAGTATCCTGTCTTTCGTGCTTGACGTGTTTATATGGTGCTGCGCTTTCGTTTCTGTTCGGCCTTTCGTCTCACTACAGGAGGTTTAGTAGCACTACAGGAGGTTTAGTAAGCCAGTGACCCCTAAGAAAGTAATAAAGTGCCTCAGAGCCCTGTAGTTGTTTGCTCTGGGTCCTCTCGGCCGTAGCATTTCTTCCTCAGTGTTGCAAGGTAATCCGAGGGCGGTGTACCTTGCACGGAGCTCTCTTCTTTGGTCATCCAGCCTCGTGCAGTGCGCCAGGAGGTGTGCTGCGTCCGCCGGTAGACTGCATTCTTCACAGTTGGGGTCGATGTGCCTCCTGAGGCGGTGCAGCCAAACCGGGGTGAATGCGCTTCCCGTCCTGAGACGGTGCAGCACGGCAACCGTCGCCCTGTCTAAGCCACATGGGATCCTGGTTGAGCGTTCCCCCGACGCGATGCCTGGGTCTGGGTGCAGGCTGGTTATCTTCCTCCGCATAAGGAGCTTGGCGTCTGTAAAGCGAGTAACCGCGGATGTCGGGCATGTGAGGTCCTTGTGTGCTTGTGATGCAAGCTGGTCGGTAATTTCGTTTCCAGAGATGCCGCAGTGACTAGGTAGCCACTGGAATGCCAGTGTGTGTCCTAGTTGTTTGAGTCTTATGGCATTATTCGCCACGACCAGCGCAAGTGTAGGAGCACGGTGAAGGCTCCCGAGCAGCGCAAGTGCAGCCTGGGAGTCGCTGAGGATAACCCACCTTCTTGTTCCGGTGTTCTTTGCGATAATGCCGCGCGCAGCCAGGCCAATCGCGGTTAGCTCAGCGGTCGTCGATGAGGCGTGAAACAAGAGTTTCTCCGTGAGCCAGGTCGCTTCTGTTTGAAAGTACGCGGCCGCGGTGGCCGTCTTGTCGGTAGGGTGTACAGAGCCATCGGTGAAGATGCGCGTCCAGCCGTCGTAATGCCGCTCGAGGTGGTGTTCGGCGGGCTGCCGTGCAGTGGTAGTCGCTGCAGTTTTCTTGCTTCGCAGGTCCTCGATGTGGAGATCGACGAGGAGCGGGTCAGGTTCTTCGTGTCCTGTTGGGAGCTTGGGGATGATAGGTGGTGGGCCCGCAATGTCCACAAGTGTAGCTGCTTGTCTGCCAATTTCCGAATCTTCCCGTGCCGCGATTCTTCTCGCCAATGCGGTGGTCGAGAGGCAATTTTTCATTCGTACCAGATGTGTCAAGGCTTGTTGTTGTAGTGCATTGGCGACGGTGTTGATGTTGGCCTCTACTAGTGTACGTTGGGATGACGCGCAGCGGGGGACACCCAAGCATACACGGAGTGCCACCCGTTGCACTCTTTCAATGTTTTCGAGTTGGGTTTGGCGGAGTGTAACAAAGGACAATGCGTAGAGAGGCCGTGCTAGAATTAGTCCTCTATACATCTGGAGCATCACTGCCTGTGACGTGCCCCAGGTGTTGCCTCCTAGTGATCGGAGGATGTTTGTGTGTTTTTTCATTGCTAGGATGACACCTTCCACTGCTGGCCCCCAGGTGAGCCTTTGGTCAAATTTCAGCCCGAGATACGTTGCTGTTGTTTCGATATTGATCTGCTTCGTGCCAATGAATAGCTTTGGCCTGAACTTGTTGATTCTTCTTGGGGCATAACAGATAGCGACCGATTTTTCGCCAGATGTGTTAAGCCCAAGTTGTGCAAGTCTGTAGATGGTGTTCGTGATTGCGCGCTGCACTTCCTGCACCATTGTCTGTCTTCGGTGACTTGAGGACGTCGCCCATAGCGCAACATCATCCGCGTATACCGCCATGTTGATTGGGTAGTTGGGTTTTTCGCCTACTTTGGCTGCTGTGGGTAGGGAGGATATGGCTAGAGAGAAGAGCAAAGGACTTATAACACTGCCCTGTGGGACTCCCCTGACGATCTTTCTTGGTTCGCTGAGGAGGCTCCCAACACGGACACGCATTGTTCTCCCACTCAGGAAGGCACATACATACTGGAATAGCCTTCCTCTTACGCCAAGTGTTCTTAGTGCTGAGATGATAGTTGTGTGCTGAACGGCGTCAAAAGCCGTACTTACATCAAGGAAGACCATCACCGCGGACCATTTTTGTGCCTTCGCCTGTTCGAGCGCGCTGATCAGGTCCCCGAGGGCGTCAGCGGTACATCGATGGTGTCGGAATCCCGCAAAGCAGTCGGGAAGCGCTCGCGTCGCCTCTAGATGGTAAACGAGGCGACGCAGGACCATTCTCTCCATCAGCTTGCCAAAGCAAGATGTGAGAGAGATGGGACTGTAGGGTGTTATCTCCCTGGCAGGCTTGTTTTGCTTGAGAAGTGGTACTGTGGCGGCTTTCTTCCAGGAATCGGGCAGCTGTGCTGTGCGCCAGATAGTGTTGATGTATTCTAGCAGAGCAGGGTGGTACATTTCATCGATGTTTTTCAATGCTTGATTGGTTATGCCATCTAATCCTAGTGACGATCGGTGCCGTGGAGATGAACGCAGCGCAATTTGCAGCTCATGTAGCTTGAAGTCAGCGTCTGGGCTTTGCATGGGAGGTGCCGTAGGCTGGCAGAAACTACTCCAATTTTGCGGAGCCTGGTCTGTTATTGGTGTGGTAGGAGCAGTGGTAAAAGCGTCCGCCAATAGCTCCGCGATGTTGAGAGGTGTGAGGTTTCGCGCAAGCCCAATGCTGAGCACTGGTGTTCTTGGAGATGGTCGCCTCGCGAGTGCGTTTGCCATTTCCCAGGCTTTGCTCCCGCCGGCGCGCTTGTGAAGTGAACCGCAGAGGAGCCTCCACTGGCGTCGGGCTAGCTTCTTCCCGTGTCTCCTAAACTTTGCGTCCAACCGTCGGTGCTTCAGGACGTCCTCGGGGCGGCCCGTGCGCCAGGATCTTCTCTGGGCCCTTCTTCCCTGAGCTCTTAGTTCGAGCCACTTGAGGTCCGGGTTAGGTCTCAAGCTGGGCACTTGTACAATCTGTGTTGCCGCTTCAAGTGCGTGCGAGGTGATGTGCTCAGTGAGATCGATCCCTGACATGAGTCGCTCATCGAGCAGTGCCCGGTATTTGTCCCAGTGAACAACGTGGCATGTTTTGAGCTTGGACTTCGGAAGTTTTCCTATGATGATTGGAACGTGGTCACTCCCCCAACTGTCCAGTTCAGGTTTGGTGGGAAGTTGTAAGCTGGGCGATGTCAAGGTGAGGTCTATCACACTCCCGTGTACCCCGGCGCGAATGAATGTCGGTGTTCCGGCCGTAGTGTTTCTGAGTCCCATATTGTCGATGGTCTGTTGCAGGTTTTTCCCTCTCTGATCCGTTTTAGAGTCTCCCCACGTTTCCGAATGCGCATTGAAGTCCCCCGCGAATACGATCGCATGCTTTGTGCGGGCATGTATCGCGACGAGAACAGTAGGATCCCAATGCCCTGAGGGATGTATGTAGCAGCAGACCAAGGTTAACTTGGTTTTGGCGATCTCCATCTCTACTGCTACGAATTCAGAATTATCCGTGTTGAAGTCACTGAGATCGAGTTCAATCGGTGCATGCGAAGTATGGACAAACAGGGCCGTTTTTGGTTCATCGCTTCCGTTTGATGGGGTGCCGTGGTAATAAATGTAATCGGATAATCGGAGAAGGTTCGGTTGTATTCTTGGTTCCTGAATAGCGAGCGCGTCGTAGGTGTTATCTTGCAAGTGTTTTCTTAGTTCCGGTAAACGTTGCCAAATTCCATTGCAGTTCCACTAAAGGATGGACACTGGCGTTTGGCCTTGGTTGCTTCTCGTAATTTTCTTATTGGTGGCTGCCACTGCGTGTGTGTGGACGTTGACTGCAAGCTACCGGGCCGTGCATGACTTTTCGGCTGTAACGCGCATGTTGGGGATGTAGAAGCCTGTTGTAGTAGAAGGCGTAACCCACTATGTGTAAGATGTCTGACAATCTGAGTCCCTGCTTAGCCATAGCATTGACTGCCTGAGCCATGATGTCGTCGTAGAACCCTGGAAGTCGTGTGTTCAATCCGTTACAATTGCATTGGAGGGAAAAACAGGCATGAAGTTGGTCGAACTGTAGGTACTGTATTAGTGTCCCCTATCATGGTTTAGAATACCATAGAGATAAGAGACTCTAATGAAGGGATTGCTCTGATCACCTGATGAAGCGTAGATGATGATGATATTGAAGCCAATATTTTGCGGAGAGTGGTAAACACTAGCGTGATTATCGCTTTAAACAGAAAGGTGGGCTCTATTCTACTGCTTGCTTCAGTTGATACCGACGCACTTGGATCTGAAGGTGTGCGTGAAGTAATGGCTTTGATGCTTTGCTTCTCCCAAAATGATGATATTTGGGGAGCTTCTTGTGTGACTGTTGTGGCATCATCAAGAGTAGTGGTTGTGTTCCGGTTTTCAAGCGGAGGGAACTCTTCAGCAGTTGCTGGTGGCATAGCCTTGATGCTGGTGTTCTGTTGATGTTTTCCTTTCGGGGACGATTGCCTGCTTGTTTGTCTCCTAGCGTGTATCGCCTCTTTTGCCTCGCGAAATGTCGTATTGTGTTCTAGCTTATATCTTGTCACCTCTGTCTCTCTTGCCTTGATCGGACATTCTGCTGCGTTGAGGCATGTTCTCCTTGGCAGTTCACACAACAGAGTTTAGATTCACACATGCCATTATGGCATTCTCCACATCGAACGCATACTTGTGATTCTGATGAGCACGCAGCTGCAATGTGGCCGAACTTGTGGCACTTATAGCATTGCAGGGGGCGTGCTCTGTAGGGAATGACCTCGGTTCTTACAAGGCCCACCTTGACCTGCTGAGGTGCCTGTTTTCCTGCAAATGCTACCCGTACGACAGGCTATGTTTTGCCAAGTCGCTTAACTTGTACTATGCCGATAGAAAACTGAAGTTGGGCCTTTACGTCGTGCTCTGTGCAACCTAGATCAATGTCGCGTAGGACTCCAAAACAGTTTGAGCGGTCGTTTGGTACAAAAGCTTTGACGGGCACTGTGCAGAGCTTGTTTAGCTTGAGGAGCTCGGCTTTGAATGCTGGTCGTTTCACAACAACTGCAACGATGTTTCGGGCTTTGTTAATCCGAACAACAGTGACCATGGTTAGTGCATCGTTGTTCAGGTAGTCTGTGAGCTTTAACCTGCTGAGTGAGTCTACTTTGTGATTCTCAGTAGGGGTAAACAGTAGTGTGCATCCTACTTGCAGGTTGGCGCCATCCTTGGAAGATGATGCTTCGCTCTTGCTCGTCTTTCGTCGTTTCTTTCCTTGTACGACCTCGTATTCGCCGTCCTCAGATTCTATGCCGTCATCATTGTGAATGGACAGAATCGTCAATGAGGAGCTGTTGATTGCTTCAGAGCTGGTTTCCATTAGCGGAATTTCATCAACATCTTTCAAAAACGTGCATGGACTTGCTTGCTCTTTGTCTGGTTCAAGGGCAATCTGTGTCTTCGGTTCCGCGGCGGACATTTCTGCAGATGTTCTCGCCTCCTCGATGGAGGCCCTTTGTGCATATGGATCGTATGCTTCTCTGGTGGTAGGGGATCGTAGGGGATCGTGATAATCTGATCTGAGGAGCACAATTTACAGGCTATTGAAGTATAATTATAGAAGAACCAAAACGGGGTTACCCTGAGCGGTGTCGTCGTCGTCTTCCTTGTTGTGACCTTGCTGCTGAGCGCGTCTAACTTCTGTACCATACATTTCACACTACCTAATTCGTTTTTCTCGGCAAGAACTAGCAGGAATGACCACCAACATGGTGCGACGACGAAACGTGCGAGCCATGTATTCGCCACGATAAGGCGGAATGGAGCGCAGATTTCGCTCTTCGCAGCAGCACGTGAGCATCTGTCGAATCTCGATACCAAACTGCCAATACTATGGAGATAAGATGATAAATCTTCTCAACGCTCAGCACCAAAGCGACAAATGCCGAGCCGCTGGGCTGCAGACAGATGCACTGCGTCTGATGTTCTGCAGTAGGGAGCTACTGCGCATGCTCAGAAAGCGTTCCACAGCACAGTAGACAACGAAGATGGGTGCGCGTGGAACGCTATTATCGAAATGGCGTATTGTATCGCTCGTGACAAGTGTCCCCAACGAATTATACTTTGTCGTTGCCACGCTTGCTCACCTGGGAGTCCGAGTAGGCCAGACTGGTGTCCATCCGATGCGAGAGGGACTGCTTGAACACTTCGACCAGGAGGTGGTACTGGAGACCCAGGTCCGGAGTGCGCATCAGCGGCACCAGGCCCTTGAACAACGAGGCTGCCATGGCCAGCGCAGGGCCGCCGCTCGGCCTGGGCGACGTCAGCAGCGAGGAGGTCACACCGGCCGGCACCTTGATGGCGCCCTCTGCGATGGCCTCGTAGGAACCCATGTCGTCGGTATTCAAGATACTGCCTGTAAAGACGAGTGCGGGTTGTGGAAGCAGCGATGCCAATTGTTTATTAAACGCTCATTGCATTCGATAAGGGCAGTCGACACGGCGTACGCCTTGTCAGCTTGATATAGACGCCTTGATATATTAAGTAGACAACATTTTCGGGGACAAATTCCTGAAACACATGTAAATTTGACAAACTATCATGAACGACACACACAGACCATCGGAATCGGGAGAGGGGGGGGGGGGGGGGGCAGGACAGGGGGAGGGGAAGCGACCGCAATTCAGACATTAAAAAAAATATTCATATGAGCAATGCGCGAAAGAAAACGGAAAATCTCTCTTCCTTCCCTCCCTCTCCCCTCTCCCCCCCCCCCCCCCCCCCCCATTTTGAATAGTTTCGACATTTCTGGACTCACGTTATGGCCGACTTTGGGGGTGAAACCGACATCTCCATATTAACAGGACATGAGTAGCCTCCACCCAACGTGCGTCTTAGTCGCATACGACTGGACCTGGCGCCTTAATTCTCAGGGAATCCGCATTTCTTTTTTTTTTTTTACATTAAACGGAGCTACAAGATTTTATGGAGTCAAATTGACCAGCATAATAAAATTTTCACAAACGTACGTTACCAAACATTTTTGCAGTGACATGTTCATTGCGACGTTATATACGTAGATATAAAACTACGGGTTGCTTGAAAATATATGTAAAATCTACGGATTGGCTAACCTATATCATCATCTATCCCTGAGAATCTATATCACCATCTACCTCATCGTTGCAGCTCGCAACGATTGTACCCAAACATGAATATATTTCTCGTTTTCCGGTGCATCGTACACTGCTAAGAAGTATAACCTCAGCGAATCGTTGAGCAAAAACGTGTATGCAAGGTAGTAAATAACTATAGAGCGTCTCCGTGAACGAATTCCCACACGGGTTCCTGGGGTCTCAGGGTCTGATCTACGCACGCACACGGCACACAGCTGCATCAGTTAGAGCTGGCTTCCTTGGCACTCTAACCTCGACAAAGGACTTCTATTGGTGTTCATAGTTTAAAGTTAGTTGTTGGATAAAAAGAGGAAAAAAAAAACGATTTGTAAGGCACAGGGTAATGTATTGTAATGAGGACAGTGCGAAAAATCACAGGATGCAATTCTCCCCTATCCTGCATTTTTTCCCTCTCGGTTTGAACACAAAACACTTTCGACACAGAATGTGAAAAGCGTTACACTCAAGTGTAACGAAAATCTGTTACACCCGTGCCAAGACGACGTTAAGCCCACACAGCCCATTGCAGGCAATGCATAAACACACAACGCAGAGCGAATGATATACTTAGTCATAATCACGGCGGTCATAATTAAGCATATACCTAAGCATAACTAAGTGTAGTGAACCGTAAACTGCGAGAATCACCAATTAAGCGGCGCAGCGAGAACCGAACCCCCAACGGTGCGATCCGCAGCCAGACGTTTTTGCGCCGTACAAGGTGGAGGATGCAAAGGGGAGGAAGCAATATGAGTTAAGGGAGCCTGCGGTAACAGGCGACCTCCCGCACGCTCTCCTGGCGCCCGAATGACGAATCCCAGCTCCCCACGTGATTTCACGACGCCATGGGAGGGATCATACTGCTATAATGCACCAGAGGATAGCTCAGCGGGCGTATTCGAGAATGCCACACGCACCTTCGGAAAGGAAGCAAAACCCACGAAAACTTGTCATTAAATGCCTCACACACTCCCCTCCTGAATAAATCTAAATTTGTCTCGATTCTTTTGATGAACCCAGAGGGTAGGCCAATCTGTCGTACGTGCAACATGTTCAAAACCACCCAAAGCTCCCCGTAATCAATGGCCATAAAGAGCCCAAACCCTACGAGCGACGGAAACGGGCGCCGCGCTACGGTTTCCATGGCAACCGCTGCGGACGCTGTGACGTGGATGCACCCTACAAGTCCACGTCACAGCGTCCGCGGCAATGGCTATGGTAACCGCCGCTTAACGTCCGTTTTCGTCGCTCATGTGTTCGGGGCAAATCATAACGTACGGGTAATGCACGCGCGACATATTCTGTGCTCGCCGAATTTATCAGGCCGAGTCTTGTTGGGAAATTTATCTTCGCTTCTTTTAGGCAGCAAAGCACGATGTTTTTTAAAACGAAATGTCTCATTACACGACGAGTACGCGTACCGTGTCATATGCCTACCCAGCGATGGCGCCATTCCTGTGAGAGCTACAGCTGCGTCAGACGGTACAGGAATGCGTCCCGTACCGCGTCCGCCGGAAGCCACGCGCAGCTGGAAGAAGACAGGCACTCGCAGCCTCGTTAATTATCTGTCGCATACTGGGAGCATCTTCTTTTGCACAACGGATGCGTTCTGCAAGAGCGCGTCGGGTCTGCAAACCTCTGCAGCGTGTCCCCCCTCCCCCGCAAAAAGTGTTCATTTTTATCACGAATATAAACTACCATATTTAACGGATAATAGACCACACCCGGCATATAGTCCGAAATGGGGTGTTTCCACGTTAGCTCATATAATGATGACCCGGGTCATATTTCTTTTTATATTTATGTGAAAAATATACGCGAAAGCCATGTTCTTTGGAGGAGCAGCATTCAGCTATATGTGAACGCTGTGGGGGATTTTCTCCAGGAGATAGAAAAATCACAAGTTCGAGGCGTGGACGTTGCCAGGGTATTGACGGCTATGCTAATTTGCACAGCCGTCAATTTAATTTAGACGAATGCACTTGGTGATATTTTGTTTGATTTGTTTTAGGAAAGGCTTACAAGATGTGCACATGCTATTAAAAATTACAATAAAATATTTATATGTAAACAGGTTTTAAAGATACATGCACAAATTATTTACTGACAAACTACTTCATATAAAACGTCTCGAGACAGGTTAAAATTTGCATACTTAAATGCGTCTTACGAATACATAAAACGATATGCTTAGTCATTATTGTAGTGTTGTTATTAATGCAGAAACGCAGACGATATCCCTAAATGTGGCAAAAGGGCACATATCAGTCTCTCAAAGTCTAACCTTTATTTAATTTATGCTTTCCGTAACCACTCGCCAGTTACTTCAAGTAACTCGTGATGGCAAAAACATAGAGTACCACAATGAGCTATAGGAGAGAAGTTCCACAGGAATCCTTGGAAATGTTACCCAAGTTAACCCTTTCCATACGGAATTTACGAAAGACCGACAATCCGTACCTTTCGATCGGATGTCTGTGAGGATGTTCTTGGATAAGAGTCCGCTGTAAAAGTCTGCAGCTCCGTACTGCGCCAGCCGTTTCAGCGTCGCGGCCAGGACGGGTCTTCTGAATACATCTCCTTCCTGTAGCAGCTTTCCAGTTTCGTTGACCAAAAACAGGTCTCTGCGAAAAGCGCGATTGCTGGCTTGAGTGCGTTAGATGAGGAAAAGTGAGGCTATATGCAGCTTTGAACTGTCCAGCCTTGTAGTTTTTTTTGTTTTTTTTTTTTTGGGGGGGGGGGGGGGGGGTTGTTTAGGGCAATTATAACGTTTTTTACGCGCCTCTATGTCGTCGTGTAATTTAGTGTATATAGATGACCTACCGAAAGACTTTTCGTCCAACATTCGCTTATTCGCGGACGACTGTGTGGTCTACCAGGCAATATCTGATCAAGATTACTCTTTTGCTCTTCAAAACGACTTGGCCAGAATACTTTCATGGTGTATTACTTGGCAGATGTAAATAAATGTGGAAAAAAAACGGGAAATATGACATTTACTAGCCGTATTTAAACGCTTCATTACGATTACGAAATTATAGATTCAAACCTAAAAAAATGTAAGATCATATTTAAGAGTTCACCTGACTCCAAACCTATCCTGGAATACCCCTATAGAATACATCGGTAAGAGTGCTAATTAAACATTAGGTTTCTTAACAAGGCATATGTTTATGGCAATGGTGGAGACTAAACTTCTTGCGTACGCTACTGTCATTGGGCCTAAATTAGAATGTGCATCCATTATTTGAAACCCGCCTAAAAAAATAGAATTGACAGCCTTGAATCTATACAAAACAAGGCAACTCGATTCATACTGAAAACATATTCAGGATTGCATCGATTCATTGGCGCTGAATCAAAGGAGGTATCTCGCGAGGTTGTCTTTTTTCCAATTTCTTTCTCATGGCTCATCCGAATTTCATCAATATTACGTCCTATTAGCTCCGCTAATTTTCTCCCCTTCCTGATCACCCTAACAAAGTTTCAATTCCTTTCGCGAGAACTAACTTGCTTACATCTCCCAGAAAAAAAAAAGGGGGGGGGGGGGGCTTTCTTCCAGTCACGACTGACTGGAATAAGTTGGCAACTGAAATAGCTCTGACCAGAAATCACGATCACTTCATGTCCCTGCTGCCTAACTCGCGATGCCCCACCTCTTGTAAGCATGTTTCGCACTGAATTGACAGCAACACTTGTGATTATTTTACGCATAATTCCAATGTGTGCACGTTAATGACCGTGCCTATCTATTGTGAATTTGTCTTGTAATTATCGACTTGAATTTTTTTTGTTTTGTGTGTGTGTGTGTGTGTGTGTGTTTGTGCGGGCGCTGGAGCTTGTAATTACTGATTGCGAATTTAAGGTTTTGTTAATTCCTTTGAGGTGATCTTTTTTTTTTTTCATTGATAGATCTTGCATAATTATTCGAATGATTCTTATCATGCTCCCCTCTGTGTAATGCCCCAGCAGGTTCTTCAGAGGTACTTAAATAAAAAAAAAAAGATTTTGTAAGTTTCCTTGTTTTTTTTTTGCTTTTTTTTTGTCCAGGGTTTTAGAAGTTTCCCAGACAAGAAAGACGCGGTGAAACTTGCGAACCTCCAAATGCGTGTCAATGCCGCTTCCCTTCATGGCCCGCCGCCCGCAGTAACGCTTGAAGTACACTGATGTTTTGCTATTGTGGTGTTGAAAATGCGTAGTGTTCTTTATGTTTCTACCGTACCCATGAAAAAGGTGTCAAATATTTTTACAACGATTTTCCTTAGAACAATTCATTCACTTCCTTTTTCGTGGTTACTCAAAATGGTGTTTGTTGCATGCCACCTGCGCCTTTCAATATCTAACAGCGCTATGAACACACGACAAAGTTTGGCGAGATATCTCGAAATTACTATGTACCTGCGTTTTTAAACATACTACCCTTCAGTAAACAGTATATAGCGTAAGAACGAAATATAGGCTCAAGAAAATCCTAATAAATATTGGTAAGCAATGCGACTTTCCTGGTTCTGTTTTTTTATTTATTATTTTGACTTTTTTATCATTGGTGTATTCTTATATTACGTATCATGCTTTATGTATTTCGCTGACTGCCAGGCGCTGCCAGTGAACCCCGGTGTGGCTGTGGCAGGCCTGTCTATGTGTATGTATCTCTGCAGGCAATAAATACTCATTGATTAAGCAAAAAATAGGGTAATATCCATCAACATTGTCCAAGCAAGCGCACCTATGGTCTGACGTGGTCAATGCCCTTGACATGAGGCAGTACGCGTCATTGAAGAACGATGCTTACCGTAGGCTGGGGCGGCGTTCGATACTCTTCTCTTGCGCTTTCAAGACACGAGCTAAAGCATCGCTGACGTTAAATCCCTCCGAGCACAAGTCGGAAACGGGTTCGACCACACGGACCCAGGGAAGCTTGCCAAACTTCTTGCTGGCCAACTCCAAACCCTTCGGAGTTCCCGGAACGCCGACTGATTCCGCATCTGTGTCAATAAAATAAAATAAAGAAAAATGGCCTGGTTATACTGTCGGTGGCTCCCTCACATGGCTCCTATCTGTGATGTCATGAACAAGGTTATGAATTGCCAGTGCCGATTTCGATAGTGTATATGAAGAGGACGGTGGAAGCTTGGGGTCGTCGCGCCCTTATTAAACCCCTTTCTGCAATAGTCTTTTTATGGTCAAAACTAATTTTGGGGGCTCTTCTAGGATTCCAAAGTAAAAAAACACATAAAAACCACAACAACATTACATTTATGCGTGGCCAATGTCTCTATTAAAATCGATATCAAAGATCGATTACTTAGGAGCAATCGCAGACACCAAAGGGCGCCGTTCACGAAGAAGGACACGGCCTTCGGGTGTCTGTGATAGTTCTGAGGTCATCTGTCTTTGATGCCGGCTCTAAAACATCCTTAAAACCAAACATTACATTCAGAAGTGACCGATTTCTTTTTTTAAAATCGGCATCGAAGATTAATTACCTCGTAACTATCCCAGACACCAGAGGGCGCCAGCACAAAAAACAATAGGGCCCTCTGGTGTCTTTGATAGTTCCGAGACAATCTATCTTTGATATACCGATCTTAAAAGAGAAATCAGCCACGCAAAAATGTAACGTTTGGTTTTACAGCGGAGCTGTTAAGGGCTAGTTTCCCCTGGATCGTGTCCGTCCTCAAATTACCTGATGACACAGAACTCTGGATAACTACCGCCATATATAAGCGACGGCGGCAACCAGAAAACCGGCTTGGCGGCTGTCTGGTTGCCGCCGTCGCTCACAGATGGCGGCAACCTTTCGAGCCTTTCCACTCTGGCTTGATTACTTCATTCTCACCATAGTACAACTTCGCTGGTCCTCCTCCTTCACCAGAGTGCAAAGGCTGAAAGTTATTTTAGGATTCTTACAGCCCATAAAATGAGTTAGGATCATAGATAGACTGTCTCACAAAGTGGTTTAGCGCCCCTTTGAGAAAATACCGATAAAATTGGCAGCCTCTCAGTCCTGCGACCCCCATTAATAGACGTGAATTCATCATACTCAAGGCGTCATACTCAGCGTTTGACCAATCGTGGAAGGTCCACCAGAGCGACACTCTTGGTCGCGTACGTCGCCAATATCTCGCCGTATGTTTAGAATAGCAGAAAACGCTCCTCCCACAAAGCCCCTACTATTTCCACTTTAGCAGTGCGAACGCTGGGAATGTGGTGAGTGGAGAAGAGGAAATTGCCAATCATGGCGACCCCAAATCGTCGTGGGAGGGGATTGCCTTACTATCGTGAACATACAACAGACTGTATAAGCGCTGTTCAATCAAGGATCACGTACACCTCATAACACGAGAAACGATTATAATACTACTGTGCAACAGATGTGCTACGTATTAAAGTTAAAATGTGGGTACATAATACGTAAAAAAATTACAGGAAGATGCTTAAGCTTCACCTTTAACAGTGGAATGCGAAAGCAAGCAAGCGTATCTGCGTGGCCTAGTCCAATAAAGAAAAACAAATCTGCGTGGCCTAGTCTGTAGCGTGTGGGATTTGCTTTGAACCCGCAACCGTGGGTTCAAATCCCACCTTAACTCCTACAATTTTTTCTTCAGGGCAAGTAAATCACTTTATCATGTTTTAATCACTTTCATTCCACGCGTGACGTCAGGCTTCACGTGAGCGTTGTGGGCTGTCTAAAATTCCCGCGCGAGGTCACGTGACTGACGTCATGAGCCTATCGACCAATCAAGATTTTGTCGGTCCACCGACGCCGGCTTTTTTGCGACACGAGCTCCCCAAAGGGATACTGAATCGAAATTTCGATCTCACAAAACAAGGTTGGACGGATAGGCGGAACGCTGTAAAACCCCAAAACATCACTCATACAACGATATCTCTAACGGACCGCCGTATTTTTGGAAAAGAAGTCCGCGACTGAACACGGCCGGCGAGGCCGACGAGACAAGTCACGTCACGATTCCCATTCTCTCTCCTCCGCTACGTCCCGTCAAGCTGGAGAACCGAAGCGAGGAGGAGAGAAGCGAAGCCGCTTCCCCTCATTCTCAAATTCTCCCGGAGGACAATGACGTCAAAGACCTCGCTTGATCGCGCCCTTCTTTTCCGAAAGTGCGGCCATCCGTTTGAGATATCGATGTACGTGTGATGTTCTGGAGTTCGTAGCGTCCCGTGCAACACTTCTGCGGCCTTATTTTCAAAATCGAAATTTCGCTTTTTAACGCTTTTGCGTTAAAAGCAATCGCTTTTGATTCTTCCTGCAGCAACCGACAGTGGTCTCACGATGGTGACATCTGTAAGCTGCCAGCGGTGAAACGACGGAAAGACCAGATAATTCGTTGAAAATTGTGTGCTCAGTAAGAGAGCACAGGCAAGAAATATAAAAACAATATAAAGTGCCGTGTTCCAAATTACGGCTGATCAACACCTCGACAGATAGCGATAGAACACTCAATCTGTTCATTTTTGTTAGCACCTTTTTTTAATTATTATTAGCACCCCTGGAGTTTAAGGTTGTGCTGCTTCCCGCATTCAGATTGTCCTGAATCTGTATGCTCAGAACCGCGGGACTGCCCGCTCGATGTCACATCTTCCCTTTTAGCCTATCATATCCTTGCTGACATCTGTTTACTTCTCAGAGATGCGGGCGAGAGACAAGAAATGAGGAAAAGAGAAAGCAGAACGAAATTCAACCAAACAAAATGAATGCACGTTTTCTATTAAAAATACCGTAACCAATGTAAAATTAAAATAAAAAAAAATACTGCTAGAGCTTCAGTTGTTTATTTTTTGTGACATAAAGAGGATAACTTTATGGGCTAGGAAAGTCGCAGAGATCATTTTCGTGGCTTGCAAAAACAGGGATTCAAGTTATAAGTCATTTTCTGAAAATTTCAATGAGAAAATGGAGCCTGTTTTCGCCCGTTTTCGGCTCCATAGAGTTCCGTCGGCCGCCATTTTCCCATTGAAAATTTCAGAAAATCACTTCTAACTTCTGAATAAGATATCGGTTCGAGCTGAAACTTTGGCATCTTGTTCGGACCTTTAGCACTACCTCTGGGCGGAAAATGAGCGTTCGGCGATGCGCAGTTTACTTTTGCGATGAAAAAAAAACACTATAATTTTTTTTTTCGTAAACACCGTGTATAGTTGCTCGTATGTCGCTCTGTAATAAAAGTAGAGGAAAGCACCGAGCTAAGGATGGAATCACCATTTGGTTCTCCTATACTCCGTTCACCCTTAAGCTGAGACTGCAACCAAATTAAGCTACATGCACGAGCTAGTCCGCACTCCTGGCTTTGAGATTTGCATTTCTAGAGCGAGCGCTTGTTCTGCAAAAGAACGCTTCAGAGCAGCGACCTCGTGCTCTCGGGCTTGTGGCACTGGCTGCAAACTCAACTTAAAGGGATACTTCAACGAAATTCGAAATATTCCCGTCGTGTTCAAAAATAGGTTGAATATGATCCACAATATCCGTAAATGACAATCGCACGTTTGTATTTTGAGTCTGGTGGCTGTATTTTTCGTTATAAACGGCCCACTCTGGCAAGCGCTCGGAGAAGGCCCAGCGGAGACCACGTGACATCCAACGCAATCGTGACGTAGGTCGTCTCAAGACGAGCAAAGCTACGGCGAGGCTGACGTCGAGAGGATGGCCTAGTCGTTCCAGTCACCGAAGCGGCTGCTTTTGTACGAATTTTGAGTGACGGGTTAATCTTCTGTAATCTTGTAGGGGGACAATAGCGACTCCTGCGACACACAAAAGGCATCCTCGGGAAGAGGGGAGTTCCTCCTGCCCCTCTTCTCTCGTCGTGGCCGGAGACGAGACAACCTCCGTCACTAGCTGTCAAGGTTCCAAGACGGGCATTACAAGCGAGGCGTTAGCGACATCCGCCAGCTGCTCTTTGCTAATCGTTTAATTCGTTTTAAAATTCCTTTTCGTGACTTTTTTAACAAGATATTGGTATGTTCGATGTGATGCTGCTTTTTTGAACACATATAGACCAAAAAATGAGCGCCGAAATTTCGTTGTAGTATCCCTTTAAAAGTGGACGAATTTTTTTTCTTTTTTTTATAGCAAGTATCACCGGACGTTTTCGATCTGTTCGCGGGCCACGCCCAGCCAATATCACCTGGAGGACAAGGCCCGCTCATGACGGCATCGTTGGTGGACCGCCGACCCACCCCAAGCGGAAGACGCGTCCGACTTGGCGTCGCCACGAGCTAGCGTCGCGCTCGTTCTGAGACGCATGAACGACGCGCTGGCGGCGACGCTGACGCAAGCTATAGGAGGCGCAGCGTGGGCCCACTAGTGGTGACGTTTGGGAGAGGGGCGGGGGGAGGGGGGAGGAGGAGCAGGCCTGCTCTTCTAACTACTTGGACGACGAATTCAGCTTGAGAGTACGAGAAAACTATACCTCGGAGACCGCGGAGCTGCATCTGGTGGAATCTCTCGGTGGACAACGCTTTAGGGGCAGCCGTCAGTGCGTCGATCACGTTCGCCTGCTTGGAGGTCCTGCACGGGAATCATGATTGACATGAAGGAACGCACGAAATTGAGTCACCGACTGCTTAAGAAACGCGGGGCGTGGTCTATCACACTTCTGGCTTCGTGATTGGTCCTTAGGCGTTCTCATGCCCCAACCTCATTGGCAGACGAACGATACTAAGATGCTCGACAATCCCCACGCCCTGCGTTTTGTAAGCTGTATAAGTGACCATAAAACAAACACAACTTTAGCAAATTATTATACTATGGCTGACGCCTTTGTTGAGCGCAGTCCTTAGGCGTCCATTTCCAGCTTGAGCGGCGTCGCCGTCGCCGTCGCCGTCGCCGTCGCCGTCGCCGTCGCCGTCGGCGTCGGCGTCGGCGTCGGCGTCGGCGTCGGCGTCGGCGTCGGCGTCGGCGTCGGCGTCGGCGTCGGCGTAAACGCGCGCGTTGCATTTAGGGAATAATGCAACGGGGCCTGACCGCGCGTTGCATTTAAGGAAAACGTCCCCGCTAAATTTAGTGGAACATTTCTCGACTAAATTCAGCGGAAAAATTTTCCTGCTAAAGTTTGCGGGATAATTTCCCCGCTAGATTTATCGGAAAAATTTCCCCGCTAAATCTCGGGGGAAAATTTTCTGGTTAAATGGCAGGGGAGCAGGACAGGAGGAGGGGAGGGTACGGAGGGGAAGGAGGGGCATACCCTCAACTCGGTACCCTTCCCTCCTCCTCCTCAATAGCTGCGCTCTAAATCGGCCTTACAAAAAAATTATAAACGTCTTCAGTTTTCTTTTTCTTTTTTTTTTTACAATAATTATTTATAAACAGATGGCTTGCCTTGAAAGTAACGCCCCAGCTCGTGTCATAAGTTCCAAGAACACAGAGACGTATGTGTCACGAAAGAACCGGAGCAACCGCGTACCGAATGAAACTCGGTGGCGGTAAATTACTCGGCGCTGCGTCTACATTTCTGAGATTTATACCTTCTGTAAACATGATATTCGTAAGCTCGTTCTATACTTTAAAATCAGACGGGTGAGGACTTGTCGGAGATCGACGAGGGTCAAGCGCCGTGTGTGCTAGCGTTTAGCTGTTCTTGTTGATTGGCATTTTTCATTTCTGAATGACAAACCGACCGCCCCAGCTATTCAAATCTGGTAAACAATAATATATTATGCAATACCTGTGTTCAAGACCATAAAACTATAGATTTAATCGGAAATGCAGGGAAATGCCGATATACCTAATTAGATTATTAGATAAAGAGGTCCTGCCAAAGTGTGTTAGAGGTCCCGACACTAGCATCAGTTGAGTAGTTAAAAGAAGGTAAAAGGGGCGGGGTGTATGTGGGTGCGTGGAGGGGGGGGGGGGGGTTACAAGTAAAAAAGAGGCCCCTCTAATTTTGCAAATACCTATTTTACTGCATTTTTTACTATCTTTTTTTAAAGAAAACTGACCAGAAGTCATGTATGGACTTCGTAAATTTTGCTCGCGGTTCTGCGCACCAGCGAAGTCTTGAGCTCACCTGTTGTAGTAGAGAATAACGATTCCGCCTCCAAGGCTCCAGGACTGAGGACTCGCGGCGACGCTGCAGAGACTGAGGGCGATGGCCGCGTCCACGGCATTTCCGCCCATACCGAGGACATTCCTGCGGCAATCAGAGCCTCCATTGAGAATTCAGAATTATAGGGTCTTCAATACGAAAAACACGCAGCGCCGTGGATAACTCTGCTTATACCTTCGTGCGTAGTAAGTGCGTTATAGCATGTTGTATTGTGTATAGCCAAAATTTGTGTCCCCCCTCATATAATGTCCTAATCAGGAAACTTAAAATATGTTAAATAAAAAAATAAACTAATGTTTTGTGTTTTCCGAAGGTTTACTTTCTTGGGAATTCGTTTTTATTATTGCTGTTGTTTTTTCTTGGGGGGGGGGGGGGGGGGGGGGAGGGGGGGGTTAATACGGATTCGACGTTTTTCGTTTGAATTTCGGGGATCGGGCCGAAAATCGGTGTTTGCCGGAACTCGTGATGAAGGAAATACGTAATTCTCCGACCTCCACGGAACATGCGGGTGACTGGAACACTTGGAAAACGTCCCGATACCGATAAAAGTAAGGAAACGAAATGAGAGGCGTGGGTTCCGAAGGAAGATACAGCCACCTCGCGGACAGTTTAATGCCGGGTTTATTTGGGTTGAACGCGCAATAAAATTGTAGATAATGCTCATTTCGTTCTTCGGATTTTTTTTTTTTTTTTAATTTGAGGAGAGTTTTAGTTTGGAGTTTCCGGTTTTCCCTGATTTCGATATAAACCGACTCGGGAGTTAATTTTCAATGTCTATCGGCGCTTACTGAAAACACGCAACCCTACTCCTAATTACAACAAGGCAGCCCATGAAATGTAAAGACAGTTTGTTAAAAAAAAGTAAACTAGGTGCAAAAAGAAAAATTACGGTTGAATTTTGCCGTGTTCTGCAAATAAATTGCGGTGACAGCCGACGCGCTGCACACTCAGCAGCTCACAGAGTCTTCCCTTGACACTGTTACGTCACGTTGCAGCATGTCGTCACGTGACACTAAATTTCCGCTAAATTTAGCGGATAAATCTACATTTTTTATTTTTGTTTTTTCTCCGGAATCGTCGCTTTCTTTTATTTGTTTTCTTTCTTTTTTATTCGGGGGCTCTTACTTGGCAATGTCTCTGCAGTACGCGTTGGGGGTGAGGATGACCGGCGCTTCGACGAGGAGCAGCTCGCTGGGACTGGCCGCGATGCTGGTGTTGTGGAAGGCTAGGCGCAGTTTCTCGGCCTGCGGCAGCATCCGGCTCAGGGACAGCCACAGCGCCACGGCGGCCAGGGCGCAGTAGCCGAGGATGAGGAACAGGTCACTCCACCGGAACACCAGCCTGCACGCGGGGAAAGACCATGCAGTGCATCACGCAGTGCCCTACCGGGTCTTGTTTCTAAATAGGGTTCTGTGTTTTCGGGGTTTATTTTCTTTTGAATGCGGCGTGTCCCTTTCGCGGTTCATTTTTCCAACATACACGTTTTTTTTTTTTCGTTGTCTTTTTTTTTAGTTTTGAAAAAAAACAAAAAAAAAACAGTGTATATATAATCGGGGCTATTTGAAGAAAACAGTACACGAGGATGGAAGTCCCCAACATGCAAGGAGCATGCCCGTTACCCAAATGCTTCGCCCCGTCGGTATTTTTCGGTGTCTGTTTTAGGTGTCGTACAAAATATCGGTGTTTATAATCACGGTTTATTCGTGGAAAACAGTACTCGGGGAGGAAATTCTCAAACCTGCAGGGAACATGCCCGTAAGCCAAGTGCATTGCCCCGCGGGTGTTTTTCGGTGTCTATTTTTGGTGTCGGACAAAAATTCAGTGTTTTAATCAGAGCTCATTTGTAGAAAACAGTACGCAGGGATAGAATTCACCATCCTACAGGGAACATGCCCGTGATCCAGATGCTTTGCCTCGTCGGTGTTTTTCGGTGTTAATTCTTAGTGTCGGGCAAAAAATTTGGTGTTTATAATCAGGGCTTACTAGTAGAAAACAGTAGACGGGGATGGAATACCCAAACCTGCAACGAACATGCGCGTGACCCAAATGTTTCACCCCGTCGGTGTTTTTCTGTCTATTTTTGTTGTCGGACAAAAGATGAAAGATGTTTACAATCCCCTGTAACGCCGAATTAGAGCGCAGCTCTTGAGGAGGAGGAGAGAAGGGTACGGAGAAGGTGGAAAGTTTCCCACTACTAAGTACTAACATGGGTGTGGATCGACGTGTGCTTAACGCAAGTCGCAGAAAATGCACCTCTTTGCTGAGAGCATCGCGTGTAAATTTGGCGGCAATTTCGCGGGGCAATTTTTTCCCCTAACTTTAGCGGGGAAATTTTTTCCTCTACATTTAGCGGGGAATTTTTTCCACTAGTGCCGTCACACATGACGTCACTGGAGACGTCACTGATAACTTAATCCGTGACGATGACGATGACGTCGTCACGATGACGTCACGTGACGTCACTGGTGGTCCTTGTGACGTCACGTGTGACGTCATCGTGATGTCGTCATCGTCACTGATGACGTCATCAGTGACGTCACGCGTCCCGCAGTGCACCGCGCGGTTACGACGACGGCGTAGCCGATGGCGACGGCGACGCCGCGCAAGCCGGAAACGGGCGCCTAAGAGCTGCGCTCTAAAAGATAGGTGTTTATATTCAGGGCTAATTTGTAGAAAACAGCACATGGGGATGCAATTCCGCAAAACAGCTCACGGGGATGCAGTTCCACAACGTGCACCTGGGGGGGTCGGTGGCCGAGTGGGCTAAAGCGCACACCCAGCTCGACGCGCGTGGAGCGAAAGCTCGCGCTGCAGAACCCAGGGATCCTGGGCTCAAGTCCCACCCCTGCCCGTTTCGATCTGGATGAGCATCGTACCGGCATGCGGGTCGTGTATCACTACTGCGTGGTGCACGTTAAAGACCCCAGGCTAGCGGTTGTACTGCACTGGCTAAATTGCTCATCTACAGCGTGTGATTCGTCGCAACTTTAAATGGCTGACACGCTGCATAAATATCCCCACAACCCCAATTATTATTACAACGTGCAACCGCGATCCGAATGCTTCTTCGAAAGGCGTGCAAGGTGCTTAAAGACGAAGAGAGCTAGGGCGAACTTCCCTTGCCTTCATTCGTCTCCCAGTGATGTTCTGCCATGCTTCAAGCGTGAGGGCCACCCAAAGCACCTCGTAAGCCTCACTGATTTTTCGCCATAAGCTGCCGAATCATTTCAAAGGTCTCCATTTCAGGTTTTCCGAGTTTGACTCGGAATGAATGTTCGCTCTCGCTGCGGTTTGCAGTCTATTCTGAAATCGCATTGTTATCGAGCAGTTGGTGAGAAAAACTCGTCTAGCGCAGCTCCAAATGTCTACAGAACGACGCCCTTTGGTATAACGAAACACGAAGGTCCCGGCCTTCGACAGCTGCGCGCATATCACTGTGCTGCAATCGCTTTTTACGCTACAAAAACCGGCCCCGGAGTATAAAATTGCGTTGCTTGTATGTTTAGACAGCTTTGAAGTTGGTACGCCTCAACGGATGACCTGTCTCTAAGCTGTGGATGAGAGATTTAGCCAGTGCAGTACAACCGCTAGCCTGGGATTTTAATGTGAATGCATTAACTGTCCCATGGGACGAACCGGCGTTATTAGCTTTTGAAGCCGCGCCAAATGGCACCTAAATTCCCCTGTCCGATGGAGTAAAGCCTGTAGTCTGTAGCACCGAACTGGTGGATAGACTCCCATTTGCTGGCGCGCGGCATAGTTCCAAGGAACGCCACCCCAATGCCATGGCAGAGCGGCCCGGCAGCCGGTAAGAGGGAGAGAGTGGCCGGGCTCTGCAGAACGACCGGCAGCAGAGCCCGCCCGGGCAACGTACGCACAGGTCGCCCGACCTAGAGCACTATATTAGCCCCGAGAGCGAACACTAGCGTCGCTGCGGTCGCCGCGCCCTGATTGGGTGAGGTGTACCGTGACATCAGGGGGAGGACTCCGCTCCGCCATCTCGCATGGGCTCGCTTCCCAGCACCGGTTTCCTGGTTTGACGTTGTGTGCCGCAAGCTCTTTGAGGAGCTGGACTTCGTTTACCCGGTGTAGAAGACGTTGAGTTAGGTCGACATTGACGTGCTTCCGTACATTTTATAAGCCTGCTTGTCCCTTTTACCTTTAAAATTGGGTTACAAACCCCGACAGCTATCGGAGGAGGCAATTCCGCCGATGAACCTTCCCGTCCATCCACACGACACAAGGCGAGGGCAGTGAAGCGGTGGCGCAAGTGTTTCAGACGCTGGAATTCTGTTCCTTGCCTGTTCATGATTTAGGACGAGATTAACATCCCGCTTTCAAGGCATTTGAAGTGGCATTTATATCGTGGGCCTTTGGGTGGTCGGCAAATTAGCTCGCGACCCCGACTCTGCGCTTCCACTCTGCATGCGCTGGTTCGCAGATGTTTTAAAGGCCCTGCGTCTGATGATCTTTGAAATGCTCGTGGAACAGGGCTGTTTTACATAAATTTAGCTTGTTCGTGAATTAATTATATAGTTTATACACGTATGCAGGCATAGTTCTTAGCAGATGCACAATTACTGAAAATTAGTTTGTACGGTAGCAGCAAAAACGGCCGAATTGCCCCCAGTTGCCTGTATGATATGTATTGAACTGCCCATAATATACACAGCAATAGTGCCATAATTTGGAATGTCTATACTTTTTCCGGACATTCTTTATTCCAGCCTTGGGTATTAAAAAAATACACCGTTTAGTCTGAATTGTCATTTCCGATTAAAAGAGACTGCTGCAGGTCCCCAAAAGCTTCCTCAGCCTCCAAACTCCCTACAGCTGGACTCTGACAACAGAGGAAAACAGGAGTAAAAGCAAGCATTCGAACGTCTGTCCAGCGGTAGATGCAGCACTAGAAGCAGAAAATGTGGAACCTGTGAAGGGCGACAGTCTGCGTGAGGAAAGCTTCTGGTATTTTAGCTTCAGGACAATTCGATTTAAGAAAAATCTCAATTTTAGGGCTTAAGGGACTAATAACGAGCTAGATATCTTCGCTTACGTTTGTTATACATTACTTGAAGGTTGATGTAAACAAGTCCACAAATACCACCCGTGTAGTCCTTTGAAATACTATCCGAATCCAGCAAAGGTTAAATACGAGCAATGTATATAATAAATGTTCCTTGTTTTTTTTTACTTTGCTCCTGCACTTGGGCTGTCTTACTTTTGATTCTCTCCCCATGGCCGAGACTGCATTTAGCATGTTGCTCGAGGAGCATGCAGCTTTTCTGCTTCGGCGATCTTGTTTAAAAAACAGAGATACAAAAGAAAAAAAGTATACATAACCCGCCAATTCATTCAGACCATCAACGGCCTTTATTGTGCGAGATGTAAATCTATAATGATGCTCCTGTAATTGTGGCCATATTCCTTTATTTTCATATACCAGCTGCGATTCATGCGTTGCCTGCCCTGTCAAGCATGCTTAAAATGTTGGTTGAAGTTTCGCCTGTAGCTACAGGCCATACCTAAATAAAGGCTCATATAAAAATTTACACTTCCTACGGAAAACACGCCTAAAAAAAATTAAATAGAAACGAGCGCGCCGACAGCTAGCGTCGTTACAGCCTCCACAGGGCGAGCGGGGCGAGTCGGGGAAAAATTCTCTCCTCGCCGTGACGTCACCCCGGTTCGCCGTAAGGGGGCGCCACGCGAACTTCTCGGGGCTAATAGCTCCTTCGGAGCAGAGTAGCGCAATCTAGAACGCCGCCTCTCGGCGACTAGCGGCGAACTCCCGGAGGTTCCGACTGCGGTCAGAAATGCATGGAGAACGTGAGAAAATCGTTGTTTCTTCAGTATTGTGGGAATATACGGAATGGCAATCGTTTTTGACATAATAATGGAACATTTTAGAATAATTTGCGCTAAGTTTTGTGCCCCGCAAGGACCTGACTTTTTTTTAAAAATTGCTTGAGCGGCATCATGCAGCAGACGACACGGCGACGTCACTCCATTCACGTGACCCGCTCCGGCCAATCCAAAACGCCCATCTCCGCTGCGAGCAAAAATCGTCTGCTTCAAACGCCATTGCCTTGGAAATTGCCTTCTCAAAATTTGCACACGCATCCGATATTATTAAAACTTTGACAAAGTGTTTAGTGCTTTACTAACTTCACGACAGACTAGTTTTGAAAAGTGTGAACTCGCCGTTCATTTTTTAATCAGCCGTGTTAAGTCGATCTCCATGTATTCTCCCATAGGGCGGGCCGCCTCCTGGAACCCTGAGTACCACGTGACTCGCGCCGAGCCGCTCTGTCGGCCATGTTGTCGGCAAAACACGGTGTTCC